TTAAGTAACTTTTTGTATTTAATTATTTATTTATAATTATTATATATTATAACTATTTTTTTAATATTTTATTTGTCTTGTATATTAAAATGTAAGGAATTTCTATAATTAAATGAAAAAAATCAGTTATACAACGAGTTACAAAATTTTATTTATATAATAAATAAGAGATAAAGGAAAAGTACTTATTTGAATGTTGTATCTCTAGGAYGATATGGAATACCTCTGGCCTTCATTTCCCTTACAAAATTTGGAGGTAATCGACCAGCAACAGAAATAGCATAAATACCTTTTGTAAATCTATCTGTAAAAATAATAGTTCATAAAATATCTATTAAGTTAATATATATAATAAATAAAAGTTAAAATGAAAACTTACTGATTTTTTGCCATCTAGCAACCCAACTGTCTTCAGGGCTCATAAGTGCAACCATTCTATGAATRAATAATCAAATAAAATACAATTAATTACAGTTATATTTTAAAGTAGTATGTACTTTATACCCATCAAAATTTGAACTAGTACAATCATACACATGATCACGGTTGTTTTTCAATCTCAAAAATTCATCACAATTGTCACAGCCATCAATTTCAAACTGATCAAAAGACTATAATGGAAATATATACAAAAAAAATAAAGTATTAAACTAATAATTAATTCATTAAGCTTAAGTTGAGGTTTAAGGATGATTGTAAGTATGCCAAATGAAATTATAACTTTTTTCCAGAAATTGTTAATTTCATCGTTTAGCTTAATGATTTTATTCATTATAATATTATAATACAAATGAACAGTTCTCACTTGAAATTTTTATGCTTTTTGAAAAAACTTAATGAGTTTTTTAAAATTTTATCAATAAATATGTATTATAATATGTATATAAAAGTGTATTTTTTGTTCAAATCAACTAAAAAAAAACAACATACTTTTTCACAGTTAAATTATATTATTGGTATGTTGGTTACAATAATTTCACTTATAATACACCTTAAAGCAGCGGTTCCCAAACTGTGCTCTGTGAGCTTTTTTAACGGCACCACGGTTTACAGCTCATAATAAAAAATTTAAAATGTACAGTATTTTTTTTTGTCCTGTCTTATGGTATTCTCAGCAAGGCACTGTGGCTAAATTTGGTCCAATAAAGGGCACAGTGGAAAAAGTTAAGGAACTGCCTTAAAGATATTTTAGTCATAGATTATTTAAGTTAAAATATTCTGTAGATAATTTATAAAAATATTTGATGATGATAAAAACAACGATAGAATTGAACAAACATATTAAATTATATAWATACSTATTATAAAATTTAAGTTAAGATACYTAAAACCTTTTGTTTTATACCTAATTAATGTCTCATAATAATTACCTTAATTAACGAACACACAAGACATGCTCTTGCAGATCTCATATCCTTTGGAATCGAGTCGAGCGACATGTTCGTAATTATCTAAAAAGACGATMACAATTTAACAAAAGATCTATATGGATGTGTTTCAATTCTTATAACAATTAATAATTAATTACCAAATTTATTAAATGCAGAATGAATAATAACTAAAAAAGTGAAAAATAGTAAATACAAATCTGTATCGTGTTCGTGTAGGAGATATTGTAGTATCCGTATTCTGTAGTACGGTCCACTAACAACATTTGATAAGAKAATTCAGGGGTTCCTAAAATCTATTGCTGATTATCAATTCGTATCATAGAGTAATAATTAATAAATTACTCTATGATTTGTATTGAGTGATTAATCAATCCGGAAAACATATTGTTAACATTTAGTTGTGTATTTATTGCCTACCCGATTGCCAAAATATAATAATATAATATAAAATTAATATGGATATTATCAAATGACAAATACTATAAACAATAATACAGGACACTGGCATACAAAAACTGGACTACTGGAGAATTATGTCTCAATATTGCCCCCCGAGATTCTAAGGCAGTTGTTTATTTTAATCCTTTGAAATGCTTATGAAAACACAGAACAATAATGAAAACAAATTAATTTGAAACACTGATCTATGTACCTACCTAACTTGACACCGATTAATACCATTGTCCGGTTTTCAGTTAGAAATATTAAACTATTTAAATTTTCCATTATATAGTATTTGGATATTTGCACATAGGTATTTCAAATCTCCATTTGTTCATAAATTCTCTAGGCAAATATGATAAACAATATAATATTATATGTACTTTTATCACAGAACAATAGCTTTATAGTAGGTACCTATTAATTAATTGTAATTCAAAACAATATACATTTCACAATATTTATAAAATACAATTAATTGATAAAAAATTAGCAGTAGACGTAATATACTTAATGTTAATGCTATATTGTAATATAGCCATATAGAAATATAAGTACCTACTGTAAAAATTTGAATATACCTATTACGTACGATGATGGACGTAAATAATATTTATATTGAATAATGATATTTGAAAATTAGTTAATTTAATAGCAATCTCAGGGTGCAATGATAACAATTTGTCCGCCACTATTTTAGTACAGAGTGTCCTGCATTATGGTATATAGTATTTGARATTAATTTAGGTCTCGGATTTATATGTAAATACATATTTTTACTGTGACTCGATAAATTACTTTAAGTATGTGATGAATTCGTTATAAGCGATTTCAAATAATAGCTATATTTTATTTTACATATTGGTACATATTTTCCATTTGTACATGTTTTTACATATTTTTCAATATTTCCATTTTTCCTACATATTTCGAAAATTTGTTCATTTACGATTATGAATTATGATTTATTATTAATTAATAGTTATATACGAGTCAAACGTATAGAACAAGTRCAAGGCCGATTGAGAGTTAAAATCAAAAGAAAAAAATGCACAGTTTATTAAATAAAAATCTTGGTTTAAACTTAAACCTAAAATTAATTAGAGATATACATTGCTATGCGGAATAACTGAGGTAATATTGCAGGCTGAGCTCACTCCTTTGGRCATTGCATACATGACATTAGTTTGCRCCCATTACKTCTGTTGGGGTTGAGCGATCTTTTAATCGGTACAAATCTGTACCGTAGTGTACCTATGACAAAATCGTAGATAATTTAATTTGACGATTTGAGCATGTATAATGWATATGGTATTGCATTGCTTTCAAGATCAAGATGAGTAAGGATCAATTTCAAAATAACTTCAATTCAATACCTAGTCTTAATTTTTGATCATTATTTTATAAAGTGATTTTTTCAATATTTCTTTTTTGTAATTAATTTATATTGCATATTTTAATTTTTTTTATCACATATAAAGCGATTTGTTATTACTAGGGCTCGGATTTATATGTATTAAAAAAACCAAAATATGTAAATATATATGTAATAATAATAATAAATCACTTTATATGTGATTAAAAATTGAAAATATGGAATACAAAAAAATTACAAAAAAATATAAAAAATTGCTTTATAAATGACATTATTAACTAATTTACTTATTTTACTAMTATTATTCATTATTCATTTTGATTATATTGGTCTTGAAAGCAATGAGATACCATATATATGCTCAAATTTTCAAAGTTAATGATCTACGATTTGGTCGTAACACAGATTCGTACCGACTGAAGGAGCGCTCGACTTCCACCGAGGTAATGGGTGCAAATTTCATATTTGCAATGTCCAAAGCAGTGAGTTCAGCCGGAAATATTAGCCCATTCATTTCGCAATGTGCATCTCTAATTAATTTTAGGCAGTCTAAACCAGGATTTTTATGTAATACGCTGTGCATTTTTTCTTTTACTGCAACTCCCAGGGGTCCCTGTACTTGTTCTATGCATTTTTCAGCTTCTTCTATAAGTCCTAAACTTTGAACTAAAGTCATTTTTCTTTTTTCTAGTTGTTTTATTGTATCTTCTAAAAATCCAAAACGAACAGATATATATAAATTAAATTATTTTTAATATCATCTATATTTAATAAATGTTTCGCTTTTTGAATAGAAACTGCTGAAGTAGATCCAACGATTTTGGTGGCACCAAAGGATGGCAACGGATTTTGGTGGGATAGAAGTCGCATGCGGAAGCGCAAGTAAAATAATTGAGCTTTTTTATTGATGGTTTTAATTTGAAAATCGTTGTGTAATGTTAGGTTTGAGATGTACCTACGGTGGTGCATTGGAGAGTCGTCGAAGAGCTTGGTTTTGGAATACTTGGATTTTATTGGTGTTGGATTTTTTGCTGAAACCCAGAGATGTATGGCATAAGTCCAAATAGGTTTCAGGAGAGATTTGTAAATTAGAAGTTTGACATTTAGAATAGTGTAATTATTTCTSGATATTAGAGGACTGAGCATGCGCATACGGGCGTTAAGAGTCAGTCTTTTGGTTCGTATATGATTTTTCCATGTTTGTCGTTTGTCGAGATTGAGTTCCAGGTATTTTATTGTATCTGACATGAGAATAGGGATGTTGTTCAATGTAACAGTTGGACATACGCCCTTTTTTTATTAAAATAATAGTTTTGAATGTTACAAACAAGTTGATAGGATATTCCAAAAAAATTAATAATAAATTATATTTATTTTTTATTCCGATTATATTAGCTAACAATATTATTGGCCGTAGCCATTTTCCTACAAAAACGAGATACCGTTTTCCTCCACTGCCCATTTTTCTCCAAAAA